AAAAGGTCTTTGGTGTATTTCCCTTTAACAGCTAACACTGTTCAGGTGTCTTCTAGCTCATCCGCTCTGATTATTATTGGTACAGCAAGTTGACGGACAGGTGGGTGTGCTGCTGCTTGCCAGGAGACCAAAAGCCTGCCTCATCTCCACCTCTGTGCCTGTGTTTGGGTTGAGTCAGCGTTTCCAATATGACAGAATGTCTCTGCAGAAACCAGTGGGTGACAACACAGAGACTGTGTCTATGTTTTATTCAGTTTACTGTTTTACCTTGAGTTATGACTCAGCACTCCACTCACCACTTTCAACACATTATTTTGCTTTAATCACTGAGAAATCAAGAAGCTTCAGTGTTTTCAAAAAATAACTAAAATTAAATGGTTTAAAAACCTTGAACGCATGATCCAAAGTGTAATAATGTGAGCGTTCCACCTTGAGTATGCTATCAGAGTGTGAAATACATTCAGTCATGCTAGGTGACCTAACCTATCGTTCCAATTATTTGGACATTTTGACAGCCCCAGGCCTTTGGGACATTTTCTACATATTAAAAAGACATACATTAAGTTGTGTCCTTCACCGGAGTCCTCTAAGGGAGTCCAGCATGTGTCTATCACACTCCAGCTGGAGGAGGATGAAGGACAGATAAGGCTGTTTTTTAAAACAAGGTTAATGAATGACAAATGATGCATCAAGGAGGAAAAACATTGGAAGTGTGGGATTCAGTGGGCATTTGATTGCAAACACACAAATATGGCTGAGCACATACACACAAAATCTGCATACCACAGTTCATTTCGCATGTGCACCACATCTGGTAGGAATAACTTGACTGCCAAAGCTATTGGCAAACGGCTGCTTCCACACAAGTTCAAACACACACATTCACTGTAGTCAGGCGATAGGGATGGGCAGCCTTGAGTAAATCAATTACGGGGTTCAGCGTCAAATTGAAGGCCACGAGGAGGACACCATAACAATATCCCAGCAGCATCCACCACTAAATCAGCTCCATGCACCGATAGAGAACACCTGTGGAGCAGGGAAAAATGGTCCAGAGAAGTGAGGATGAGGACACCTGAGCTGATGTCCTTGTTTGTTTTGAAGAAGAAATACTGTCCCATTTGCCTTAATGGCCAAACCTGGCTTTAATCTGGCCCTTTGTGCTTATCAGGAGCACCAGCAGTACAGCCATCCTCTCCTATTCGCTAACTCTTCCTGTCTTGTTGTCTCATCATCTCTTTGTCTCATATATCCCCTTCACACCATCTATATTTACACCCCCGCAATGGCAATTTCTGTCCATCCAGACGGATAACATTGAGTATAACAGCAAGTTTCACCCCAAGTGCCTAAATTTGCCTATTGGTTCCTATTGACCTGGAGAAACTGAGATCGCTTTAGTTCCAATCTCAGTTAAAAAAGACTCAATCAGATATCAGGCAGCAATAAATGCCCCTCTTTGTGGCACCAATCTGAGGAATATTCATGTGAAAATTCCCAAAATTAAGCCTCTAAAGGAAGGAAAAGAACACAACTGGCCTGCCAAGAGCCCTGACCTTGACTGTGATTGTAAAGGGCAAATCTGAGACTAAAACGTGGGGATGTTACAGGACGTAGGGTGAAGTCCGGAGCAGCTGTACACAAGGGGTCAGCCCATGAACAGCATACTAATCCATTGAGGGAAAGGGCAGAAATCCAAAGGATGAGAAGTAGGGCGAAGTCAGAAACCACAGAAAACGACACAAAGAAAAAATGAGTCTGCAATTTAACTCAAAAGACAATTCATCAGAGAAGGACTAGGACTGCTGATAGTGAAGGAACCAGGGGCTTGAGTGATAGGAGACATTACACCTTCGAAATGAAAACAAAAAGAAGTGTGTAAAGACTTGTTACACTCCACCTTATCACCTACAGGGGAAGTCAGGACAATGAAGGTTATCACCAAACATCTGTTCCTAAATCCACTAAAGCCGCAGTGTCTTAAAATGGGACAAATCCCTGAAGCTTGGTTCAAAGAAGATTGGAGACAGCATTAAAAAAGAGGAGTGAAAGCTGATGAGGCAGCAAACCTATGCCTGTAGTTTCATAGAGGAATAAAACAAATATATAAACAACTTCCTTAAAATCTGACAGGATGTTCTTTATAGTGGCTGATGAAGGATCCACCTGCACTTTTTTTTGATGGTGTTCCCCAGGGGTCGGTACTCGGCCCTATTTTATTTCTAATATACATATATATATATATACACACTGTGAAAGTAGTTTCTTTCTGTCTTTTAATTTTGCTATTTTGTGTTACTTTTCTATTTTGTTATTTACTATTTTTTACTTGTATATTGTAAAACTGTATACATATTGCATATTTTGATTATTTCTTTATATTTACTTATTTTATCTACTTATTTATCTCCTCTTTTTACTTCATTTGCACTGGAGTTACTGTAACAAAAAGCATTATTAAAGTATTTAAAAGCATTAATAAAGTATTTCTGATTCTGATTATTTTCTGATTCTTTCTCTCTTCTGCAGTTAATCATAGACTAGGACTGTTGATAAAGTAGAAAACTGGAAAAAAGAAAGGGCAGTGACATAACAAATGGCAACAGATTGAACCTTGTTAAAAAAAAAAAGAGAAAATTATTCTATGTCTCCATTAATTTCATTTTCTAAAAATAACATAAATAACTAAATAAAAAATAATAACACTTGCTTTTTTATGCTGAAGATCTTTCCTCCTCTGCAGCTACAGACATGTAACCATGCGTAAACACACATAAACACTAGAGAGGCTGGCTCTTAAATACGATGCAGATTACAGATACACCCCCTTGCTTTATCAGGATGGAACACAACACACCATGGTCTGATGGTCTTTGTGTGTGGAAGATGTGTGCTCCCAACCAATCAGTCAACAAGCACATGCAGGGAGAAGAGGAGCAGACTTATTGTGATAGGAGGAGTTATCTGTTACTCTTCATCTGCTTGAAATTGATTTGTCAATATTTGTCATCCAGAGAGATATTTTTAATCTGTTGTCTTTTGTATACAGCACAATGTGATAGTGACAAATAGATACTGTAGTCATATTATGTCTTTCTAGCTTTCCTTTTTCAATCTATTATATCCACTGAGGCTTGACTCCTCTGTCATCAGCCTGAATCTTTACGGTTTTATTCCAAACAGACTTCGTTCACTTTTCTTTGAGTGTTTTTTTCCCCTCCACTCTGATGTATTGCCTCTGCCATTCGGAGCTATCCAAGGTGCTGAACCTTTACTGTTTCTGACTCTTCGCAGCCTCTGAACTCGAGCCTCTTTCTGTCTACATCAGCTCATGATACAGTTGTTGTTTGCTGTGGGGAGACAGGAGAATCTTTCTCTTTTTTTTTCTTTCCCTATACTTTCATCTCTCCATATAAAAGCCGCTTTTGCTTCTTTTTGAACACAGAACATGAAACACTCCCTGAGAGTGAAATACTCACGCCCTTTGTGGCGCTGCCTAAACTGAACAGACTTTTTTCAGTCTATGATCTTTTTCTTTCTAGCTGACTTCTGGCATCACTTTAGGACTGATAAACTATCAGAGCTTCTATACCCAGTTCAGCAGACAATACAAGGGCCTACACTGGTCCGCATTGGTAAAGTCATAGGGGGGTCCGGGGCTTGTTGTCACATTGCAATTATCTTTGCCACCAGAGGGCACAACTAAAAAGGGTAATACTAGTTTTCTTCCTTTACATGGTCAGGGGTCATGTCCATAGACTGTATATGGTAGTTTGGAGCAACATGTCTCAGTCATTTTGGGGTTAGTTGTCACATGTTTAAAAGGTAATAAAATTAACATAGAGAGTCTGCTTCCAGCAGTTGTCATATTGAAATTAAGCTTTTATTCTAACAGAGATACGAGTGGTTTAAAGGAGAGGAGAAAACGAGAAGACATGGTCAGGACTTACAAAAGAAAAACACGGCAGTGCAGTACCTAACATGATGCCGAGGGCAGCCAGGCAGGTGACCAAAGCTAATAAATCAATCTGGACTACAATAAAGGACTTTAATGTCAACTACCATACCCTGGCTCAGTACTGCAAAAACATCCACCCCAGCCAAAATACAGAGTCAGACAGCTCTCCAAACTCCAGAGCATGATGGATAATATTTTATGTTAACGTTTGTTCAATGTCTTTTTCTAGCTCAATGATAAACATTTTCTGGGCCTGATTTTGATGTTCACTTTCATGGAAAAAAGGGGAACAATAATTTTGTCCTTGTTTTATTAGCTGCAAAATCCACTGTGACATCTTACCCTGTGTAGTGAGACAACTTACCCGATGGTGGGGCAACATGTCACATGTTCACACTCTCTATTTGATTGATTATAACTCTGCACTGACACAAGATATGAAAATGACATGAATATGAAATATATACCTGAGACTTTAGTCTTTCATCTGGTACACATTTTGTTTACATATGATGTATTGATTCCAAGAAATATAGAAGAGTGTTAAAGACCTGACAACAAGCCCCTGTCTCCCCTACCCTGCCCTGTTCCACATACTCATGCAAATCTCTTGGCTAGATGTGGTTTATGTATTCAGTCTTATTGATTTGTTTGCCAACTCTATCCTGAAGACGTGAAGAGCGTGACCAACTACTCCAAAGCGAGTTTTTCCTTCTTTGGAGAGGAGAATCAATCCAAAGAGAAACTTACCAGTGCTTCATTAAACAGGCTCCACTGACCGCACATAATTACTGAGACTGATTTGCAGCAAACATAAGACGCTGTAAATTACGGCAGTCATAATGGCAACTTTGGGTGGGAGGAAAACAAGCGACTCTGTTGGAGCGAAATTATCCCACATACCGAGCAGCCATGACGAATTGGCTCATTTAAAGCTCAAACTAAATAACCACGAATTAGGGGGACTTGGGAGTACTTGTGTTGCAGCGTCTCTCTCTCTCTTCCTCTCTCTCTCTCTCCCCCCCTCGCTCTCTCACTCAGTGACAGGCGTCAAAAATACCACCCAGTGAGCGCGGATCAGAAGCTTCCCTCGCGGCCACAGTCGGCTCTTGTTCACCATCCTGCGCGCAAATTTCCTCTCAGAAATCCCTCTTTCCTCCAGCTATAGAGTCCCAGATCACCAGGATGACTGCGGGGTAAAGCGTCTTTTTCTGTCCTCATGATTCAAAGTAACCGACGCCGGCGGACTGATTCGACTCTTCATGTCTGAGAGGATAGTGGTCAGTCACCCTCTCGTCAAGACGCACCGGTATAAGCCTACTGTGAGACCACAATGGGGGAGAAGATGTGGATATTTCCCTCTGCTTACAATTCAAAGTGTGTGTTTTCTCTGTGGAATCAGTGGTGTTGGTGTTACGCAGCCCTGGTGTGTTTGCTGATCTCGCCTGTCAGGACGGATGACGCGTGTCCGTCATCCTGCGTCTGTGCCAGAGACTCGGGGACGGTGACCTGCCGTGACGGGGAGGACACCGACATACCAGGAGACATCCCCGAATGGACGTCCAGCTTAATACTCAGGGGGAGAAACATTACAACTTTACAGCGCGGTGCGTTCATGAGCAACGGCACGGAGTTGGAAATGACGACACTCTCGCTCTCTTACAACGGGATCCAAGCGATTGAACCCTACGCCTTCCTGGGACTCCCCCGGCTGCATTTGCTGGATCTGAGCCACAACCAGCTGGAATCTATCTCAGCCCGGGCTTTCCACGGGTTACTCGAGCTGCGATCTCTTTACCTGAATCACTCTATTTCACCGGCAGCCACGGCGCAGCTCTCCATGGCGCTGAGCACTCAAAGTTTGCGCTACCTCCACAGGCTGGAGTTGGCGGGAAACTCTTTGACATCTATCCCTTTAACAAGATTAGATATCTATAACCTCCACGCACTGGTGCTGATTAATAACTCAATAGAGAACATCGTGCGTGAAAACATCACCAATTTGTACCAGCAAAGGCGTTTACGCGTGTATTTGTCTCTGAACCCATTCCGGTGCACCTGTGAGATGGAGGCGTTTTATTACTGGTTGAAGAACTCCTCCCAGTGCCCGGATGCAGGGCGGCTTGTGTGCATAGAGCCGGAGTCCAAGAAGGGAATCCCCGTGGAGAAGCTCCGGGGAGAGGACGTGGATTGTATGAATGAAAACCTCGAGGCTGTTTCTTATGTGTTTCTGGGGTTAGTCCTGGCTCTGATCGGGGTGGTGTTCCTCATGGTGCTTTATCTCAACCGGGGAGGCATCAAAAGGTGGCTCAACAACATTAGAGAGGCGTGCAGAGACCAGATGGAGGTGTACCATTACCGCTATGAGCAGGACTCAGACCCAAGGCTGGCCAATGTGGCTGTCTGAAACATGAGGCCAGGCACTGCACGGTGACAGGACAGGGGACGGTGCAAACTGGGGTACTCTGTGAAAACAGGCCGAGAGGACTCCCTGTAACAGTCTCTACCTACAGTTTTTATACACCAGTTTCACTTTTCAATGAACTGCAATAACCCCCTCACTGCAGGAAAAGCACAGAGCCAAAGACAGTAATACGACTTCAAAGACTCAGTGTTGCACCACTGAACACTTCTGAGCAGTGTTGTTAATATTGTACATAAGTAGCTTTTCATGCACCATGTTACCTGTTAGCATATCAGCCTAACTTAGTATTATTTCTCCTATTAACCAAGTGACAAATGTAGGTAGAGAAGGTTTTAAAGGATAAGGAACACAAGATGAATCAATGGGGTTTCTGAGAGACGCAGCCTCTGTAAAGTGCTGCAAATGAGTATTCTACATTCATGAAACCCTGCAGGGAGAGCCAGGTAGACAGAGTCTGTTTATAATGCACTGAGACAGAGCATTATGCAAAGCATGCAGAGAGAAAAGTGGTAGAGAAGGGGACCTAAAATGAGAGTATGTTGCTGTTAGAGTGCCATGTTTGTTCAAGCAGGCATCATTTTTCACCATGGCACAAAATACCAACCTTGTTTTTATGAGCAGTGCTTTGATCCCTGGAAACAGCACAACTGTGTATCATCTGACCCCGGGTCAATTTATCTGAAAAAAGGTGGAAAAGAAGAAGAGACAGACTCTAACCATGCATGTGATTGTTGTAGGCGTAGAAAACAAACCAAAACATGAATAAAAGGTCAAAGAGAAACAGCAAGTTAGCAATGTTATGCATGTCAGTTCATTTCATCATCACTGTCGGGAAATGGTCATGCAGCACCTTGACGGAAATATGTAAAAAAGGAAGAAGAATATTTTGTTCATTTGCCAGAGGCTGGTGTGAAGAGGTGAAAAAAATTCAGTTATATTGAAGACGGGAGGCAGTCACATCATCACCGCCTCTGGGCTCCACACTGAAAGTCTGGACTATCATCAGCTTTTTTATTAAAGGAGCAAAGAGTGCAAGGCCGGCAGAGGTCCGCACGGAAAGATGGAACAGGAAAACATGGCAGTGTTAATCTTATCAGCACCACGACTAATAACGCATGCAGAATGACGACAGACCTGCAAAATCAGTATCTCTGTAAAGCCTAGTGATCAGGCGAATGAAAAGCTGGAAAAGGTAAATAGAGTAAGAATGTGTTTTAGATAATTAATTAATTAACATTATGTATTCACAATGGATGGAAACAACTGAAACGCAAAAGGCTAATACCCCTTAGCATGCACTTATACATTAGATGAGCATTGCATCAACCCATACATGCGTTGTTGACTGACATTTGCAACCAATGTGCCATGCACCAATGTCAGACATTTTCCAGCGTAAGAGGAGGGGCTTCTAGCAACAACTTACATCTCAGAGTTTATTTGAAGAATTACAAAGAGGTAATACAAAAAAATGTTGGTGTTAGAATTTTTTGCGATGCATCGCTAAAAGCTACGCCGGGTCCCAAACTCTGAGCAGAAATAGGCTTAAAGGTAAACGTCCACAACCTTGTGGACCCAGATAGTGGGGTAGACTGAGGCAGAACTGCATAGACAATTGAAGCAAACTGCACAAAAGGGAGCCAGGATGATCTAGCTACCAGCAATTTACTAAGTAATAAACCAATAATGGTGGAAACATATGATTGAATGTAAATTACATGGAATAAAAGAACAACTATAAAACCACTGAGGATGCAAAGGTTTTTTGTTTAATCAACAAGTAATTGGTAATAATAGGAAGGTAATGTAATTATTTTCTTTCTCCTCTCATTGCAAATTGTCTTTTAAATGTTTTTTAAGCAAAATGATAAGTTAGCTAAATAGACGCATTTATGGTCTTACTATCCTAAACAATTGTAAACAGCAGATAGATAGATAGATAGATAGATAGATAGATGAATAGATAGATAGATAGATAGATAGATAGATAAATAGATAGATGGATCACACATTTATGCGTAGTCACACATTTATGCGTTGTCATTGCGATTTTCTATTTTCCACCCTCCATGAATGTGTTTCACTGTGTCAGCAGTACAAAAGCTGCCCTTATATAACAGTGACATCAGATTGTGAGACATTGTCGCTTGTTATGTCAGGTCACAACCCAGCAGACCACACTCTGTCATGTTTTATATTGAGATAGATGAGGAGAAAAGAGTAGAGTTCAGGGATGAAAGCAAACCCTTTTGAAGTCGCACTCTTTATTTATACTCAGAGATAATGGGGAAAATTTTAGAGCAGAGCTCCTTTTACGAGCTATACAACAAAGACACTCGTCAGTATAATAACATTGTCACCTTCACTAGCCAGGACAAGAATTATGAGTTGGTTCAAGAGATTACTATTTCATTTATTACCACAGACCCGAACTATTGGTCATTTGTTGTTTCAAAGCCATAGTACAGCTAGAGCTACTGCTATTATACTATAATACTCTACACGGATACGTAAACACATGAATGATTGTTGTGGCGTATAAAGTGGTAATTAGCATATGTCTGGTTCAACTGGTATGATACCACTTAACTAGAACGATGTGTCGCCTGCACAGGCTTGTAGTTTTTAACCATAGACTGTATATAGAATGGACAGTGTCTGCCTCCTCGCTGGGTGAAGCCACTCCGAGAACAACACACCCTGGTGATGGCCTGCAGTATAGGTCATAGATCCCGCCTCCGCCAGTCACTCTATGGGGCTGCGGACAAACTTTACTACAAAATTTACTACACAAATTATATCAATTTTTCTCCCCCCTGCTTGCGATGTTGACATGTAGTTATTGTATGACTGGTTTGTGCTCAAGTCCTATGGGCGTACGAAGTTTGCATAGCTCACCCAGGGGATACGCTGCTTGAGCCGGACGTCACCACAGTGACTCTCGGCAACTCTCCCGCCAAATGCGTACAATGCCACTATGCAAGTGGTGGAGTGCGTAAAATGCTACTGCACGATGTTGGTTTCAGAAAGTGGAGAAAAATCACAGAAATACCGAGAGCTTTTCGGCTTCAGTTTTGTTTACTGGTGGAAGGCGGAACAAAGTTGTCCATAGTATATACAGTCTATGTTTTTAACCTATACTGAGAACCAAAGTCTGGTGGCGCTAGCTCTGCTAATGTTAGCCACACTTGGCAAACCATTTTAAATGGTTTACATGCAGACTCTGTGATGGTCATGTGTTTTGTTGGCAAGACAAGGAATTGTCCAGTGGTTTTACTCAGTTAGCATAGGTGCCATTCTCAATTCTACATATATCTCTTCTTCTCTTTTTCTTGACTGTAAAATGCATCCAGAGCTTCACAGCGCCCTCTCAAGAACAAAAGGTGTAATTACATTCCCAGTACATGAACTAACTTAACAAGCACAGCTTCTTGAATTTGTAAAGACAACACTATGTTCAATAAAATATGCTCAGTTTTGATTGTTTACTAAGTGTTTTCTTACCTTTAGATTAGTTGGTTGATTAGTCTGAATCTGAATTTCTGTTTAATTGACTAGAAAATTAGTCGTCTTGAAATCCCTACCAATATGCAAGATATTAACATAGATAGCCCTTTGCTCCAATTGTTTATCTTATTAAAACTATTACAAAGAACGTATACCTTAAAAAATCCTGCTATCTGTACTTCCACCTCCTTCTGTGTCCTGTTTTTCTTTTTTTTCAGCTTTTCCTTCTATTTTTGAATTCGGTATACAGAGATATGACAGAGATAAAACAAGAATTTCGAGCAGAGCAAAAAAACCTTGAACTTGTCTCTTCAAAGCATTTTATCAACTCTGCTTTCTCTGTGCTCAACTTTTGGCACTGCTTCATTTATTTCTCTTCCATCCACTTTTTCTTCGATACAAATCCAGCACATTTCGGAGAATTTTTTTTCTCTGCCCTACACGCCCCTTCTTCCCTCTCTTTCTCTTTCTCTGTCTGCTCCCCTGTCTTGCCCCTCTTCTTCCAGGTAAATGACTTTATCCAGTTGAGTGACTTTGTAAGGACGCGTGGACTGGGTTTAAGCTGAGCCCAGCGAAAAGGAAGAAACGCAAAAAGAAAGATAAAGAAGAGGGGCGTAGAGAAAAGATTCATTATGGCTCTTTAGTCCAGGCACAAAATGCCCTTGCCTTATGCAAAGGGATGACTCATCGCCTTGCTCTTTATGTGAATGTCTGGAAGGCAGAAGCCTGGCTGCAAACTGGGGGCAATATCTTAGGATAAATGTGAAAATATGAACATTTATTTGAGTGAGCTGTAGCTATCAGAGAACTCCATCACATCTTAGCATGTACATTTCAGGACCCTTTTTTGAAATGGCCTCCATCGTTTCTTCACAGAAATACTCTCCCTATAATGTCTGAGTGTCTACAAAGGCAGGAAATATCATTATGGGTGCAGTCCAATCATGTTTGTGAAAAGTAATCAAATGTACGTAAAGACTGTGAGAGTCCCTGATGTGTCTGATAGTGAGAAGTCTTGTAGTCACTCATCGTTTGTTTGCAAGAGAGGAGGATGGAAAGGGGTACGACTGTGCAGAAGGAGGCCAAGGGTCCAATCTGTCTTATCAGACAGGTTAAATTTGGGGTCTGAAGACGAGTTTAAGATTTGGGTACAACGTTGAGAACATTTTTCCAACTCTTGGTGGAGATCTGTGTGCTAATTTCTATGTCTGCAAGGAGTGAAGCCGACCAGTATTGTATGCGATTTCATAGTCCACTTGTCTTTCTGATTTTCTACTATCACTGTTCTGCACAAAAGCAGCCAGCAGAACCCCCTCATCATCTAAAAGTACACCCTTTTACTTTAAAGCATTAATCTTTCACACTCTGTCACATCAGTCATAAATGTATGGTGGTTCTGCTTTAGCTGTAACAGAAGTATTCATGCAGCAGACAGTACAACTCTGATTATGAGCTTTACTCCTAAAATTTCTTGGGGGCTGGGTGTAATTCAAACCACATAAAGAGTGAATTAGATGGTTTAAGAAGCATAGAGGATAAAACTGTATGTGATATTTTAATATTAGCGTAATACTATAATAAAATATAATCCCCAGTAATAAAAATAGGCAATACTTATTTCTTTAGATTAGTTACTTCTCTTTATTGGACATAGTTTGGTGATTTTTTTACACTTTCTGCCAGAGATTGGCTTTTTTTTCTTATGTTATAGTTGTTGAAATGTGTCCAGGGCTCAGAGGTAGTTTTACAAGCAGTCAGTGTTTAAGAGAGGAAAACTGCAGGTTAGTAGTCTTTTTTTTTTTCTAGAATAAGACCATAATACATTACAATGACCTCCTAAGTGCCCTCTGGTGAAATTAACTTTGTAATTATGGATGGAGGTTCAAAATTATCTAGGTATTCTCAATCAGAATTATCTAGTCAGATTATTAATCCTATTAATTTATTATCTAATAACGCTTTTTAATAAAATGTGGTCATCTTATGGTCATCCTATGGTGCACCCTGTCTGTCTTATTATTGTTTCTTAAGAAGATTGACAAGAACTGCAGATGATTGTGGTTTCCTTCACGAACGATTCGTTCAAAAGAACAGAATCTTTAAAGTGAAAGTACTGAACCAAATCACCTCCTCAAGTGATTAGTTCATTTCTCACTTCAGGCGAGCTGAAGTGAGAAACAGCATTGCCAGGCCAGAAGCTGGCGAACGAGGAACCACATGCACCAACACCTGAATCACTTGGTGAACGAATCACGCATTGAACTACACTCTCTGAAATCCTTTTTGTCGGACAAAACTACATTATTTTTTTACTGCTAAATTGCCACCACAACAACTTGCATACAATAGGACAAGTAATGCATTAAACTTGCAGCATCCTATCATTGCAGCGGTTTGAATTCTTCTTAACGTTCAGTGAACGAATCACTCACTGAGCCCAATTTACCGAACAGACCTGATAAATGGCATACCATACCATCTCGTCTCCCAGTCCCAGAAACTATGAATTTAACTGAATCCTGAAACGTTCAGCCGTGTATCAGTTCAGGAGGTCGGGGTGCACACCTCTCCCGTCAAGCGTTAAGTGATTCGGTGATTCAGTGAACGAATCTCTTGAACAAGTCTTTTTAGTGAACTGATTCTAGTGATTCAGTACATCTAAAAGATTTGCCGCGCCCACCACTACTGCAGACGAGCAACAAATTCAAGTGCAAGGATATGTTTAAGGATCAAGCAGTGAATATGTTGAAGCAAGCAGGTAATTGTATGCAAAAGTAAGATTCACAGTAAAAACATTTCAAAATGTCAATCTAAAATCCATTAGTCATGATTTTGAACAAAGAAGTCCACCGCTTTGATTAAAAATAGGAAAACTGCTCTCATTAATCTGTCTGCTTTTTGCTTTAGTCAAACCATTGAATGTGTAAGAACATGGAAAGCACAGCCAGTGCCAAACGTGACTGTCAGCAGGATAAATTAGGAAGCCTGCCTCTAAATGAAGATAAATAGTTCAAACTACAGGATTAAAATATGTAAAAAAAAATTATCAAACATGCTTTCTATCAGGATGATTTGTGATAAAGCCTTCATTCAGAGAGGCTTAGTTTTAATCGGTTATAAGATGCCAAATTAGGAGAAGTAACATAAAGATTAGTGGCTCTGTTGACAAATGGGAGTTTCTTATTCTAAATTTCACTTAACTGCTTTAAACAAATGACACACTTTGACTGATTTGGTATCTCTGCTTTGTGCATTTTAAACTTGTATTTGGCTTTCTATGCAGAAAAATCTGGAGGAAAGGTCAACAAAGGGTCAATTTCAAGAGGTCAGAGGTCAGTCAGGGGCAAACACAGCTTTGACTTTGAGTTGTAGAAGGGCCTGCTTTTATTAGAAAAACAATTCATTTACTATAAACCAGGAACCAGCTCTTGACAGCAACCTTAATGACTCATGATACATGAGTGACCCGACACGTTTTTCTCTCTCCCTTTAATTGTTGGAGTGCAGGCTGGGGGCTCTTAACAAGTTCTTATGAGATTAATTAAGCTTAAATTTGAACAATAAAAGGTTTGTTTGTTACAGGCAAGGTCATTACCCAGAATTCAGTGCTAATGTCATAGAGCTCATTAGAGAGACTCCCAAGAGTCGAAGAGGCAGCAGTGAATCCTTTATGTCTGAGGGTCACCATGTCCCGCTTGAAGACAAACACACCCTTGGGAAATAAAGTCTTGGTATTTCATTATAGTACTATTCATGTATTTACTTTGATTATCAAATAAAGATAAAAGCAGAACTTTATTCAAAGTATTATTCATGAATGAATGATCACACAGCTTGATGAGAGCATAATCAATAAATCCCATCTTAGACCTGCGCTATTCAAGTCAATATTTTCATTTTCTGGCTACTCAGCAGTGCAATTAGAAACTTTGCGAGCTAAATACACAACAGTCTGACACTGCAAGCTTCTGTACGACCTCTTACCTCCAGGGTTGCGCAGATTTTGACCCGCACTGAACTGGTTTTCATGAAAGGCTGGACTCCTGTGAGGTAAGTGCTGACTGTGAGACTGCTGTTCAAGGGACCCTTGACCTGCAAAAATAAAAATGTGTTTTAACAAGCCGTACAAGTGTCAAAAATCTATACAGACCCTCTGACCTGCTTCAGAGGGAGTAATCAGTGTGTGGACTGAGGGTATGAGAGTCCTGACTTTACTCCCACACTGGAGGTCAAATATTAATTCCCCACATTTCACATGGTAATCAAAATCAATTTCTTTGCAGCGAGGGCACAGGTGCTCATTTGGGATGAGGTTATTGAGTTAATTAGGAACACAAATATACTTCCATTGCAGTACAGTGGGGTCATAGTAAAGGTGATATTTTTTTATCATGATATAACTAGTACTGGAGTTGAGGGGGGATGGCATCCCTGCTTCCCACCCCTTAAGCATTTTTGTCAATGAATGTGGAAATATTACAACTATTTTAACATTGGAAATATTACCACCATTTCAACGTTTAGGGGGTGTGAAGGAGTGGTGTCCTTAATGACAGCGGGCAGCGCATGGAGACACACACAAACCTGTATACACGCCAAACACTGCCCTCCCCGCCAGCGTCGCTAATTCCCCTCTACACAGCGCTACTTTATCTTCTCCCTTCAATGTTTGGTTTACCAAGGTTACACACTTGGAGCTCTATCAATTGACTTAAACATACATTCACAAAGACATTCATCCCTCCACTTACTTGCCGGGCGTCCATTCATTCCCGCCATCATGACGGATCCGGTTTCCAAATGAGTAAACAGAGAGCATGACTTCCGGGTGTAAAATGGGTGGGTATGGAGGGCCAAAGTGGTCACATGATGCAAGAAAAATTTATTCCCTTGTTGTTTGCCATGAATCTTTAAAAAATTAATACTGTATTGATTTGTGTAAAAATACACTAAAGATAGGTTAAAAAAAATGGTTAAAATTGTTTGAATGTGAATAAATGCGTTTTCTCCAAACTTATGTAATTGATAACACCCACTGGGAGGGGCTAGGGGGCGTTAAAACAAGCCTGCCTGGGCCTTTCTTTCTTTGAGTCTGGAGTTTGTTGCATTGACCTAAACGCCAAACAGACTTTTGTATTGCTGATGTGTTTCTGATAGTTTTTAT